GACCGCTAATAAATCACTTCTGCACAAAGCTGCTGCTTACTGATTAATCAAATTATGGTGGGATGTAAATGTAAAGTTCTCTAGTTGCTAGATTTTAATGTATTAGTTAGCTAACCTGCTCCCCGCAACCAGTTTTAAAAGTTTTTTTTAACCTAATGAAAATAAACACAAACATGTGAATTGTGTTTTTTATATAATCGGTTTAGGTGCTAGATCCTAATACCAAGTTTGCAAACTAAAAAAAGCTGGTGACGAGATCAGCCCCGAGTTCCTCAAGGCTCTGGATGTTGTGGGGCTGTCTTGGTTCACAGTATTTTAAAACATAACGTGCACATCGAAGACGGTGCCACTGGACTGGTAGACTCGGGTGGTGGTTCCTTTCTTCAAAAAGGGTAATCAGAGGCATCACTCTCCTTAGCCTCCCCAGTAAGGTGCATTCAGGGGTATTGGAGAACAGAGTACAGTTGAGGGTCAAACCTCAGATTCAGGAGGAACAATGGGGGTTCCGTCACTGTTGTGGAACACTGGACCGGCTCTTTACCCTCACTAGGGTCCTCGAAGGGGCAGTGGAGGTTGCCCATCCAGTCTACCTGCGTTTTGTGGACTTGGAGAAGGTTGTATGACCGTGTTCTTCAGAGTACATTGTGGGGCATGCTCTGTGAGTATGGGAATGGGGTTTCATTGGTGTGGGCCATTCAGTCCCTAAACAAGCGGTGTGAAAGTTTTGTTTGCATTGCCGGCTGTGTCAGACTGCTTCAGGGTGGGAGTTACGACTCTCAGGGCTGCCCATTGTTACAGATTCTTTTCATAACATTTCTGGACTTTATTTCTCAGTGCAGCCAGAAGATGGAGGAAGTCTAGTTTGGTGGCCTCAGGATTCCGTCTCTGCCATTTTTGGATGATATGATCCAGTTGTCGTCATCATGCAGTGATTTTTGTCATTTTCAGCTCTCACTGGAGCGGTTCACAGCTAAGTGTGAAGCAGCTGGGATGACCTCCAAATATGAGGCCATAGTCCTCATTTGAAAAGGGTGGATTGCCCTCTCCAGGTTGGGAGTGAGGTTCTGCCTCAAGGAGGAGTTCAAGTAACTTGGGGGTTTATTCATGAGTGAGGGCAGACTGGAGTGTGAGATCAACAGACAGATCAGTGCAGCGTCAGCAGTATTGCAGACTCTGTGCCAATTCATGTGGTGAAGAGGGAGATAAACTGTAAGGTGAAGCTCTCCGTTTACTGGTCTGTCTACATTCCTACCCTCACCTATGGCATGGCCTCTGGGTAGTGCGCAAAAGATCTAGATTGCAGATAAAAGTGGTTAAAATGACATTTCTGCAGAGTGGATGAACTCTCCCTTAGAGATGGGGTGAGAAGTTCAGTTAGGAGAGACTCAGAGTGGAGCTGCTGCTCCTCCACCTCCAGAGGAGTCAGTTAGGTGTTTCAAGCATCTGGTAAGGATGCTCCCTGGGCGATGGTCCGACTTACTGCTGGCAATGCAAACCAAACTCTCGCACCTTTTATATAGCGATTGAACAGCCCGTAGCAATGGGTCTCCAACCCCATACTCATGGAGCACCCCCCACAGTGTACCTGAGGAACACGGTTGAACACCAAGTTCACACAACACATGTAGACTGGATGGGCAAACTCCCATGACCCTTCAAGGACCGTAGTGAGGGTAAAAAGCTGGTCCAGTGTTCCACGGTCAGGACGTAACCCGCAGTTCCTCCTGGATCTGAGGTTCAACTACCAGGGAGGCTGAGGTTTGTTTTTTTTCCGGCTGCTCCCTTCTTCACCCACTAAACATTAGACGTCAAATGGACGTGCAGATCATGTCTTTATTGAGTCCGTCAGTCAAGACCAATTCTCAATGTCAACACGACGTGCAAACTTTGTCTGGCATCACAGTCTGCACCTGTGAGGGAGCAAAATTAGACTGGCAAAAAAGACGTTTCGGCATTTCCTTGCGCAGTGGGCAGGAGTCGCCACAGCGAACCAAGTCGCACAAAGACTTGACGATTGTTTTTACACCGGATGTCCTTCCTGACACAACCACAAACCACCGAGCTACCACAGCCCTCTGTGTGGAGCTGCTATCTAGGGCACCCAGGGGAGCAGATGGTCCTTGCTCAAGGGCCCAGAGTGGGGCACGAGGGTGGAGGCCAGTGTGGGTGCTTCACCTTTCCCACCCACATTTTGAAGTTATTGGTCCGGGGGATCGAATTAGCTACCTTCTGATCACAGGCTCGCCTTCTCTTAACCTCTGTGCCACCACTCTCCAGACCCAGCAATGTACAAGAATGAACTATAGCTTTAATATTCTGCTGTTTTATACTTTATTCCATTACCAGTGTTTGTCACAGTGTTGTACCTTCCCTCAAACTGGTCTAAGATTCAGAGTACTCACATTTTCTGTCATTGACCTCCGATTCCAGTCCATTTCTGAATGGTGTCAAAATGTACTGTCAAAATTTTACTGACGCTTGATTCGAAATTATATTTTAAAACTAATAGAAAACCACAGTAAATTAATGTTCATAATATAATCAGAGTTATAGCAAGTTATTAAGCCATGGATTAAAGCTGCTGCTGCATTCATTAACTTACCTGCTCACAACAGACTCATGTTCAGGCTGCTGTTTAATGACATGTTATTTTACATTATAGTGTTTAGTGTGAAGCTTAGATCCTTGCATACGGTTTCTTTTTATACTTTATATTTTTGCTATTTTTGGATGTAACTGGGACCTTGAGTACACAATTTTGTTCCACCTCATGTACCACGTGATGCGAATGACAATAAAGAACCTTGAACATTACAACAAATGTGTGATATACTCAATTGTTTCAAAAGTTTTATTCCATCATAGAAAGTTATTTTTTAGGTGGGGAGCACGATTAGTTGTAACTTATAGAGTTGTTACTTTAAGGTTAACAGTGACTAGGTCATATTTAATAAAAATAATTTGTGTAATATATATATATATACATCATACTGGCTCGTTCTAATGTTCAAATTTGTTTTACTTCTTCTACCATTCTGTTATTAGTCTGTGCATGTAAATCCTTGCATATTCTACACTAAGAAAAACCATTAAAAGGTAATGTTTTAACGAGGTTGCGCCCCCTGGTGGCTGCTGGGTGCTACAGCAGAGCTGCTGCAGCTCTAATCTGGCTTTGTGCATTTAGAGCAAGATGATAGAACTAGTGCTAACCTCATGTGATTACTACATAAAGCAGGTCACTTTTAACTGATCTTTTATGAATGCATACATAATGGAGATGAAATACTTGTCTTTATATTTATTGACAATATCAGCTGCTTCTTGCTTTCACTATTGTGTAATTATCCAAATGTGATTTAAACAGTCGCTACTAACGAAAAGACCACTGGTAAAAATTAAGATTTTACTCACCTCTTCACTTTACAGATGTTTTCTTCCTCACAACCAGCTGCCACTCACTGCTGCTGAAGGTCTGAGCCTGATGTTCATCTGATTAGTCAGTGAAGTTATACAAACTGCTTCATTTCACATCCATCCACAGAGCTGTCCTCCACAAGCTGTCAGTATCACATGACCTGCTGTTTGCTGAACTGACACAGGATGTAAATGTCACCTTTAATGGGTCAGATAGAAAACAGCCCTAACTTCAGATATAAATTAACATAACGCGTGTGCTTCTTAATATCAAATCACTGATGTGACTTGAAACAAAGAAACAATTAGTTTTGCACAAGTTGTGTTTTTGTCTTTAATCATCCCAGAGGAACATGGTGTCCCAATACAGAGTTTAAAAACCCAGTGAAAACATCACCAAGAGCGAATACATATATATATTTATTTAGTCTTATTGCAGTTCCAGTTGTTGACGTTCACAGATCGATGGAGATGTTGTTGTTGTTCTGCTGAGGAACTGGTTTTATTTACTTGCTGTTAAAATTGAGCACAAAAATGTGAATCAAAGCCTGAAGTTCAAGGTCAACCTTGGTCCCCCCCCCCCCAGCTGCTGTAGTGTAAAAATTAAAAAGAAATAAAGCCATTCTTTGAGAAGGCCCTTTTAATCAGCCATAAGTACTTCACACTGTAGTGCAAAAGTGTTTATCCTTCTTAGTGATCGGTTCAGTTTTTGTTTTACAACCTGGAAATTATTAATTTGATTAAAATCAATAATTCTACAGAATTATTCCAGATTAATGAAAGGTAAATGGGGGAGAAATGTTTTAAATAAATAAAAAATCTGTGTGCATGAGTTCAGCCCTGTTGCTGTGAAGTACCAACCAGGTACAGGTCCTGGTTGGTCCAAAGTCCAGACCTCAGTCCACCTGAGAGTCACCAGCAGCAGCGACCTGAAGAATGGACAACAGGTCCAGGTGAGACGGACCTGAAGACACCTGATGTTGGACAAAGTGTCGAGTTATGGGCCTGAAATGATAAACAAGTGTTGTTTTTCACTTTTATTTATTTTAACATTATTTAAAACAAGTTCTTTACGACATTTAACTTAATAATCTGAATATTTTTGTAAAATTATTTATTCCAATCCAAATAATTCCAGGTTGTAAAACAACAAAACGGAAAGAATCCCAGCGAGCGAACGACGAGTGGAGAACAGCCGAGGGGAGGAGATGCACATGTACCATGTTGTTTGTGTTGTTTGTTTACAGCGTAAACGACTGCGTGGTTTTGTGCTGCGCGATCAGCAACACACACACCGTTAATAAACACTCCAGCACCTCCAAGCCCTCACACACGAGTTTTAGTGTCAACACATTTGGCAAATCGTCATCATAAAAATAACAAAAACATTAAAAACAGACAGTTCACATCAAAGTAGAGTACAGAGGATTTACCCACAGGCTCGTGTTACGACTAGCTAGAAAAGAAAGAACGCATCACCGTGTTACATCAGTGTGTGTGTGAGATGTAGAAATATTAGCATGTAGTCAGTCAGTGTGTGTACATACAGTTTGTGTAAACTTACACTGGAATAACCCCCCCTCCCCCCCAGGTAACAGAAAAAATAAAAAAATAAAAGCCCCACATCACATCAGAATTGTTTGCATTTGCAAAACAAGCATCCAAATCAACACCCAAGTTTCAGCTGGACGATAGAAATCTCAAAACGTTTAATAAAATAATAAGGAAAAAAGATATTTCAGTGCCAGCTATATATATATATTTATATATTCTATATCTTTATAAGTTTGTTCTTTAAAACATTGTGTCGTTGTGGTTGTGGTCCCTGGCAACATCATGGAAAAAAGAAATAAACACTGATCCCTAACTTTGTCCAGCTAGTGTGTGTGTGTGTGTGTGTGTGTGTGTGTGTAGTGGTCGTCTGTTTGTTTTGTTTGGTATTTGTAGTTTCAGGTACTTCTTTAGTGTGCTCCACATCAGAATCTGTCAGTACGCTGAGACACTGATTAGTGTGTTTAGTCTGGGTTTAGTGTACTCCGGTAGTGTTCACGGCTCGGGCAGGAGCGTGTTCACGCGCTGGCACTGATGCTCTGTTTGTAGACGGCGTGGTAGGCGTTCCTCAGCAGGACGTAAGGGAAGCAGGACTCCAGCAGGTCCATGGTGAGGAAGGGAGACTCCTGCACGATCTGAAGCACACAAACATCACAGAAACACGTCAGGCTGCTAATGCGGAAACATTTAACTACACTGCATATTAAATGATATTATATTAAATAATACATTATATATGCTTCACTGGACTTCACCACCACAAATTGTTTGGGGCGTGGTCCCTAAGCACTCGTGTCAGTGGCGTGGGTAATTAGCCACACACCTGGGTCTGGACTACAACTTTTAAAATGAGTATTTGATTGTTTAAAGCTCTATCTTTAAATAGTCTTCCTTATTTTGTTTGTTTACAGCCCATTTACTTTGTAAATTTGTAATGTATAATGTAGATATTTAGTTGGGCTGGCCTTTATTTGTTTTGCACTTTCTTTTTGATTAGACTTAGTTTGGTGGTTGCCCTGTATTTATTTTGTTTTGTTTTCCAGTAGATGGGGTCCGGGGCTGTGCTGGTTTGGTGGCCTTCATCTGGTAACCAGCTCCTGGGTTTATTATTATCATTTTAATTTTTTTCACAGGATTTTAAAAACAGTATTTATAAAAAATGTACATAAATAAACTTTTCTAAATTTGCAAGCCTGTCTCAGATGTCACGAGTATTTTTGTAAGATGTACGAACCGGTGTGCCTTGTAAATCACATACTTTTAATGAGAACCACCTGGTACCACCACAGTTGGATAAGTTTCAAAGTTAGAATTAAATCTAACACAAAACATACTGTCTGATTTTATTCCTAGCTTTAAAGTGGACATTAAAGGTATTAAATGGCTTCAAACATCTAAGTTCATGACATAAACCAACAAAGATGTTCCTGTTTTTAGTATTTTACATGCTGTAAATTATGCTGGTATCGGAGGCTGATGCTGATACCAGATCAGGTAATCCGATGTACAAGGCCTTTTGCTCGGTTTCAAAAACCCACCCATTCTGTCATCATGTGACCAGAAATTAGTGATGGTAGTATGAAACAAAAGCTTCAAAACATACTTCAAACCCTGCAGTAAAATTACATGGGAGCACTGCTTCGGAGTCTGTTTTGGTGCGGAACGTCACGTGACGTCTGCAACCGTTTCATTGACGGAATGAATCGCTTGACTGGTTCGCGGTCCAAACAGCTGATTCTCTGGCACCGCCTCGTCTCGATGGTGACGGGTTGAGACAGTTTTAAATTGAAAACGCTCAACACTCTGAAACAGCTCTGAAATGTTTGTGTTGGGAGAGTAGGTGTGCTTTTGCTGTTGCGTTGAAATGGAGTAATTATAGAACCAGCCAGGAAAAGAGGTGGTTCTAACATGTGGGAACACTTCATTCTGCTCATGATAAGGTGGTGTTGGTATTTTAAATGTCCAAAAAGTTAGTAATGTTCAGCAGTGAAGATATTATCTAACCCATGTATTTAATATAATTACAGTAAAATGATGTGATTTTAATTATCAGTATGAGCTCAAATTAAATATTTCTGCAGGTGCAGTGTTTGGTGTGTTCAACTGAACTGAAGCATCATGACACCTCCTCTATGATTAGACGCTTCAACACCAAACATGGAGATGCTGGAGATGTTATTTCATTATTTTTAAGACTCTGCCACAGTTACACAAGCACAATACTATTGCAACATTTTTATTAAATCTCTTCAATGCACATTTATCAATATTTATTCAAAAACATGTAAGCATAAATAAATTGTCAAACCAGACAACACAGAAAGTTGATGAATTTTTTAGAGCAGCATTGAAAAATGTCACAAGAGGTCACTGTAACTGAAGCTTCAACAAATGAACCTATTTTTGAAACATTTGGCCAAACTGGTTCAATGCTTCATAAAAGCTTCATAAAAGCTTCATTTGCTCATCACTACCAGAAGTCTAACCTGAAGGACCAACGAGGTACTCTGGAGAACCATCCCCCAAGATAAGATATGAATTAATTTCTTTTGATTGTTCCCGTCTTTTGCACTTCATGCACAGACCTGTTCATTTGTTCAGCGATGATGGAAAACGCACAGAGAATTTCTTATGACGCAGCTTTCATGTTAAAAGTGATCGATCGGTCGAAGGAGGAAACGGCTGCTGCCAGTAAGCTTTGCATCAACGTGTCGATGGTCGAGATGAAAAGCAGTCGAGTCTGGTACATTTGAACAAACGATTTTAACTTCTTTCAGTGTGACGTCTTTCTGTGTCTCTAAAGATGCGTTTAAAGACTGGGATCTCATTTTAAACTCGTATCCGAATACTGAACGGAGAACAACAGGAGGGGTTCTTCCCCCTCCCTTTTCTGAGAGCTCAGCGGAGGAGACGTCAGATTTATTTTTAAATCAGTCAGTCAGTCAAGACCGATACATATTTAAATAAAAGTAAAATAAATTATACAAAGTTTGTTTTCTCAGTCATCCAGGTATATAACAACAAAAAAGGTTGAATCATGTCATCTGGACTTCGTTTTTTTTTTTGTTAAAAAGAAACGTTTCGCCCCTCATCCAAGAGGCTTCGTCAGTCTGAGGCCTAGCCATCTGGTATTACCCAGAAGCCACCCTGACTCTTGTGTTTCAAGCCTGCCTCAGATACCCCTGAGGTCTGGCCTTTTCACTAATGGTTTCAAAAACACAAAGTTTGTTTTCTCAGTCATCCAGGTATATAACAACAAAAAAGGTTGAATCATGTCATCTGGACTTCGTTTTTTTTGTTAAAAAGAAACGTTTCGCCCCTCATCCAAGAGGCTTCGTCGGTCTGAGGCCTAGCCATCTGGTATTACCCAGAAGCCACCCTGACTCTTGTGTTCCAAGCCTGCCTCAGATACCCCTGAAGTCTGGCCTTTTCACTAATGGT